CAAGTTAGTGACTGCTTATGCTGCTGGAGCACCAAAAATGCTGTCATATTTTTCCCCAAGAAAGGGAAATCAAGATTCAAAAAAAAGAAAGAAGGAAATGAAAGGGAAAGAAAGCAAACTGTCTTTGCAAAAAAGCTGCATAAGAGAGAGACATGGATCAAGAGAGAAACGGCTAGGGGCCCACAGAGACTGCATATGCCCAGAATTTGGTGCTACGTCTCTGAGTGCCACCTTCCTGCTACAACTTTGTGGTGCGTCATCAAGCTGTTGTATTAACTAGGAATGTTGTGTAAGCTGTATTATCTTGACAAAAAAATTAAGGCAAAAAAACTACATTGATTTCACTGGTAATCATAAACAAAAAGAGGCTTGATGGATATGACATGTAACACAACAGCATTGGCCTCTAGTGTGACATATAACATAGGTGTCTGCAATGCTTTATAAACAATAACAATAGCAAAACATGGCAATAACAATCATTTACCGTCCCTGTTATATGGCAGCTGATCTTGTCTACTGCTCAGAGGGTAAGAAGCTTCTGGACCTCATTGTTTTTCCAATTTTGGACATTTACCACCACTGTCCTTCCTCTTTGAGTTAGCTGCTAACAACTATTCTTAAAATTTCCCACAGTGGGTCACTCACATAATACATCGTCAAAACGTTAGCGCGTCCTGACACCTTTTCGGTGCCACCTTCAGTGGCAGCTTTAGGGAGAGGCCAGTCTGTCAAGCGAGATGTTCCCTCCTTGAACAGACAGTGCAAAAGGGCCTGAAGTATCATTGCATTAAACAATTAATTCTCTTAATGAATGACCCCCGTGTGAAAAATGCAATCATTATTATCCTGGTACAGGGTTGCAGGGGGGGCTGGAGCCTTTCCCAGCTGACATTAGGGAAGAAGCGGGGACCGATCGCCAGACTGTCACAGGGCTGACTCACAGAACAGACAATCATACATGCTGACATTCACACCTACAGGCATTTTAGAGTCACCAGTTAACCTCTGAGAGTATTTTGTTTTCTTTCCTAAAAGCCAAGTCTCTTTCTTGCCTCCATCAGATCATCACTGTAATGCACACAAACATCACATGTCATCTAAGAAGTGGTTAACCTCTATTCAGTATGACCGCGTACATAACTTTGATACTGCACTACGCACGCCACACGAAGCACGCTGTTGACTCATCAGCTTGTTTCCTGTCTGTCTTAACACCTCATAAGACTGCTTTTGGTTTCAAATGTGCCCTTTTAATGAACTTGTATGTGGTGTGATGCCTCTTGCACTGCAGCGCAGGTTTTCTTTCCCCTTTGAAAAGCTTAATACAGTTTCTTAGAAGAAAATAAGAGTAATCTGAATAAATGTGCTCAGCCTTAACTATTTCCTCCTGCAGTGTCAGAAATGTTCCCTTAACCCTACACAATGTAACCTTCCTCTCAATATACACAGAAAACCCCGTGAGAGAAGAAAAAAAAATACATTTTCCATATCATTGGAATTGATCTTGACCTGGAGGCAACAGATGAGCAGAAAGCAGTACAGTCCGTCTGAATGCAATATTCATGTCTTATCTTGGAAAAAGTGGCTCAGAGGTTTCAGCCTCCTCCCTAGCCTTATCATCAAAAACACAAGTTCCAGCAGTGTGCAGGGGGAAACGGGGCAGAAATTTGTCCACATGCAGCACACTCCATGAGTCTGAAACTAAATGATTGTAGAAAAACAAATGTGGTGTTTTGTAAAATTAGGAATAAGGCGTTGATGAGCTTCAGTGCTCTTCAGAGTCTGCAGTCATAGAGTGACTGCAGACTCTATTTGTCAATCTCCTCAGCAGTACATGTCAACATTAGTCATCCATCAGTCCAATCTTTGAGTCCAGGACTGACCCATCAGGTCTGCGGCTTTCGCTTCAACTTACGGTCACAGCCAACAGACTGAAACTGAGGATCAAGCTTTAATTTCCTCCCCCATGTCTTCTCCAGCTGGCATCAACACATATTTCACATCCCAGTTCAGTTGAACACACCCCTTCCTGTTTGGCTGCATATCTGCGCGCTGCAGACAACTGCTCATTAGATACTGTTAAACTGGCACACACACAGGAGAATGAGGTTTGCTAAAAACTGTGATGATGGCAGACCTCATGCAGTTTGTGACGAGAGGCTTTGTACAATACTATGTTTTCCCCATTATCCTGCAGAGCCTGACAGCAGAAAGGAGCCACTTGGAGCTGTTATTCACTTTGCACTACAGCAGCACTAGTGATGCCATCCTCATTCAGCCTGAAAGCACTTGTATTTTTACGTACCCAAGGTGACATGCCATATGTAGCAGCAGGAGAGGGTTTCATTTACATATTTTGCAACTGCAAATTAAATAGGGTGTTTTTACACAATAAACACTTTTGATTCTTTAAATTTTTCTGATAATACCTCTGCATTTAAACTCAAGTGGAATGCAATACTTTTACCTATAACAGAGTGTTTTCACATTGTGATGCTGCTGCTTTCACTTCAGTAAAGGATCTGAGTACTTTTCCGCCACTGCTTTTAGGTTTTTGCCAGTGGTGGAAAATAACTCAGCAGCTACATTTACTCAAGTACTGCACTCAAGTACAATACTGGGGTACTTGTACTTTACTAGGGTGTTTACATGTTACTATAAACTTCTACTGCTGTATTATTCTATGGAAAACTTATGGCAATTTTATACAATTGAATGCATTGTTAGAATAAACCAGTGGTTTTCAATGAGTGGTGCCCCAAGAAATTCTTCATCATTTTCTTGGGGTGGCACACCAAAACTAAAATTTGAAGGAATTTCAGGAATTCAGTATGCTTTATATGCTTTTCTAGTATATGGGCAAAATCGATATCAGTGTTAGAGTTAAGGAATTGCATACTGATATACTTTGGTGTCTTATTGTATAGTTAATATTACTAATTGATACAGTTAACATTTTGTGTTCCACAGCAATCTTGTTTTAGCAACCCAGTCTCACTCCGAAGTCGACAAGATCCAGCACTTGGGCAGTGACTACCGATGTCAGACACCGACGAAAAAAGCCATCCGTCCCTGTTGTTGTTTAATGGCACCCAGCAACATCAGGGGAAAAGACAACAACAAAAGTTAAGGTGGCAGAAGTCAGAGTGGGGCAGGCGGGAGGGGTGGCGGAAGAGCTGAACAACCACCAATTATCACCCAGGATGCCGGTGTTTACTTCCTATAAGACTGTAAAGCCAAAGCCAGTTATTTTCGTGTATGTGTTGGCAAAACATAACCATGTGCGTTTGTTGGTGAAGGAAAAAAACAATTTTAGGCTGAAATTGACATGGCATCCCAGAATGTCAACAACCAACGCACACAGGGCACATCTGGACGTGGAAAGTCCATGAAGAAACGTTGACATGTGACGAGGTCAGGGGGAGAATGTGTGGATTTTAGTGTGTTATATCTGCATGTGTTTTGATCAATTGTTCTTCGTACAGTCCTTTTCCTTAAAAAGGCAAATATACAGCTTTAATTTGACGGAGTACATTGATTGTACAGAGCAAAACATTTATGCGGAACAACCCCTCTTAAGTTTCAGGGAGACTGGTGGGGACCTATAGAACCAATTTTTTTCAGATATCTTGATCATAGGGGTTTTAGGGACCCATTTAAAATGGACATGCCAGTTGTTCCCTCACAAAAATGTAGCCTAAATTTGGAGCCTGTTTTAGCCCCCTTTCTGAGGAGGTAACCTGACATGGTTGGTACCAATGGATACCTTATGTTGTCTAGTTTTACAAGATACCCTGGTAGCTTAAAATATAAGCACACCACAGCCTCTTAATACTTGAGTAAGCCCCTGTTTTTAACTTTCTTGGCTTGTGAAAATTTAAAAAAAACACCTTGTCATGTTTCAGATGTCTGAGTTGTTTAGAGTTCCACCAGACAGAAATTTCCTTCCAACCTTTTAGATGGTTTCACTTTAATAACTAATTGAGGGTCACAAACGTAAAAGTGTCCAATGTTTCACACAAAAAGCAAAGTGGAGAAAAAAAGAATGCAAAATAATGTAAAAGAATGGGCTGTATGTATGCTGTATACTACTCACAGGGGGCATTCTTCTATATGTGCTTTCACTTTAGGCTAACACTTTTACTTAAGGGATTGTTCTCTACTTGTCAGAGGGAGAGGGGTGGCTGGGGTGTGACGTCTTTGGATTTTTGGACCCTCCCCGAAGCCACAAATGTTTTTCCTTGAGCTTCCCTAAATGACTTGGGGAAAAAAAACATGACCGTCCCTCCATCATACATTAGTTGTTAGATTTTTTTTAAAATTACCCGTTAATGTTTGAAAGTTAACTGCTGAAGACAAATCCTGTAGCTGAAGACAGACTGTGTTTTCCACTCATTGTGCATGCATGTTATTGGTTTATTTTTGGCCAAATTTTAAATTAGACAAAGAATACGGTGATTTCAATGAAATATCATTATTTTAAGGTCAGTTATTTATTTATTTATTTTTTGACAGAAGCATTCATCCCACATAATGTGTTCAAGAATGGTTAGAAATATGAAAATCCAACAATAATTTCTTGCTATGATAAATGGTGATAAATGATGGCGCCTTCTTGGACGGCATATGGTAAAATTATTACAAAATATGGGCATTTAAAGTTGTATGCCCCTCCCCTAAACCAAAATAAAAAACTTAAGTCCCTCCCCAGTGCTTAAAATATTATTTTTGCACCACCCTCTCCCCCCTAACAAGTAACCAACAGTCCCTAACTAGCAGGCTTTTGGATGCAGGACTTTTTCTTGTAAAAGTAAAGAATCTGAAAACTTCTTCCATGAGTGTTCTATGTTTTTCTTTGTGTTTCCCTCATCGATGAATGAAGTCGACTTCTGTCTTTCTATTTATCTGTCTGTCTGTCTGCCTGCCTGCGTGTCTGTGGGGTGGGTGGTGGCCCCGCCCAGCTGATATACGTCATTGTAATTACCTCAGAGTCGTCACACCTGCGGGAAACTTCGAGACGAAAGCACACGCGACGCCTGTCAAATTATTTTGCCGCATAAAGTTTTGGAATGACTCAAATTAAGTTTGTGGATGTTGACATTTCTTCAAAAGCATGACCGAGTGGCTACAATGTTTGGTAAGTCTTTTAAACGGAACACCGACCAAAAGTTAGTTAGTTTTGTTCTGGGCCCAGCTGCCAGCTCTGCCTTTAATTGAGTCAATAACTAGACCTGTTTCGCTCATACTAAGATGGCATTTCCTGAAAGTTGTCAACACTTCAGACATGGTTGAGTCATTATCCAAGAGCGTTTACGAACTTTCATCATTCGTTAACTTTCACAAGTGTCTCAGAAGTCTTTTATCGGAGGTTAGTTTCTGTTGTATTGGCTGAATATGTACTGTCGAAGTGACAAGTATGGACATGTCTCGATGAAACTCTAAAGTTTATCAGTTCGTTTGTCATTTGGGAAATGAAATTGGGAACGGACATTTTTCTGTTTACCACTTTGTGTCTACACTCGAGCCTCTTCGCAGAATGTCACATTCGTGTGTCAGAGTCATTCCCAGCCAGTCTGAGCCCATGGTGTGAAATTCCCTAAGGGCTTAAACTCATTCATTCAAGCTTTTCCCCTCAAACACGACCGTGGGCTGCTCTCAAGTTCCTATGTTCAATTGCTGGGGATAAATTAGTAACTAACAATTAAAAAAGTAAAACTAAAATAATATCAATAACAATTTACCAACAAAACCCACAACATGCTAGTGCGTTGCCAATCTCCATATAAAAATGTGTCATTTTGACATGCTCTTGCAAATTACCGCACGTATATTCCCTAATTAACGATTCAAATGGATTTTATTAACATTTTAGTAATCTTTCTTCAATTCGGCGTGGTTGTAATCCGACAAATATCTTAACTCGCCTAATATTTTAGCTTTTATATCTGACCTGCGTGGTACTCAAGCACTTATCCCTCTACACAGTCTGCTGGCGGAAGCGAGAGTAAACCACCTCAGAAAGTTTAATTTCATCAAAGGAAAATGTCGTTGTGGGGATTATATGCTTGCCGATTTGAAGCGTGACTCGAAAATATTCAGAGGATGCCTTTATATTGTGGTTGACATTTCTTATATATTTGTGCGTTGTTGAACAAGATTATTATATTAGCTTTCAGTTGAGGTTTGTATGATTTTTTCCTCAATTGAAGATGAAGTCTGACAGGCTTATTCTGTGGTATATAATATGTTTTTTTTTTGTTTTGTTTTTTTTACTACTTTTATCATAAGACACATCAAAGTAGGTGTGTGTGTGTGTGTGTGTGTGTGTGTGTGTGTGTGTGTGTGTGTTTTTGGCGTGGGTGCGCGTGTGTTTGTGCTTGCTAGTAAGATGCCCTGCCCCGGCATGTGATCTCTGGCAAAGTAGGGCAGCATGGATATTCCTGGGAGATAATGGGTGTGGACAGCAATCTGAAATATGTGTGATTGCCTTATTTGGTTATTCCCTCCATCTGGCCAGGTGTTGACTGTTTGGACACACTGTGTTTGTGTCACTTCTTGTTAAACCTGCAGGTTTTAGATGCCATTCAATCAGCTTAGCTGATTTTCATAGCACTATGTTCATCAGGCTGTTTTCATGCTCAGAAAATGGAGTTTGAGCCTGTCTGAAGGAAATCCCCTGCTCCCATCATATCCACCTGCCCACCTCTAATCTTGTGTATTAGCTTGTGGCCTGATCAGGAGTGCATTCCATTGGTTGGGCACGGTCTTAGGAAGTGTTGCATCATCTTAATCATATCTCTATAAAACAAGCAGGAGAGGAAAATGACTCATTTTTTTCTGTATGTTTGCAGTATTCAAACTTTTGATAACTATTCCTTGGTAAACAAGTCATTTCCTGTGAGCGGAACTGATTACCAGACTGCCATCAAAGGAGGAGACTATCAGATACTCAAACACAGTAATGAGGGGGAAAAACTAAGTAATGAATGCATACTAACATAATATGTAAAATCCAAATGATTTTAAATAGTGAATGCTTTCACATTTCAGCGATTATGTTCCTAAAGTTTTACTAAAGCAAATAATGTGGTAATTATTTATTTATTCATGTAAAAAGAAAAGCATAGCATCTTTTTGGAAAATGAACAAAACGAAGTCACCAAAAGCAAATAGAAACAAATGGTTAGGGCTGCTGCTAAAGATTATTTATTTTTCATGAATCTGATAATTATTTATTCAGTTAATTGATTGATTAGGTAAATAAGCGGTACAACGGTGATTCACAAGCCATCACAATCTCCCAGAGTCCAAGGTGACTCTAAAGTGTTGTTTGTTGCAACCAACTGCCCAGAGAGATTTGTTTACAATAGAGCTTCAAGAGCTTAATCGATTAGTTGTCAACAATTTAATTAATCATCAACACATTTGATCATTGTGTTTGCATTTTTTTTTTTTTTTTTTAAAGGAAAAAAAGTCAAAATGCGATTGCAGCTTCTTCAAGTGAATATTTGGGGGTTCTTTACTCCTCTTTGACAATTACCTATATATCTTTGGGTCTTGGACAAAACTAGACATTTGAGGACGTCATCTTGGACTTTGGGAAATACTGACCCGGATTTTTTAACCTTTTTTTCCTGACATTTTTTAGACCAAATAACTAATCGATTAATTAAGAAAATAATCTACAGATTAATCGACAATGAAAATAATCGTTAGTTGCAGGTGAAACAGGAGACTGTCCCATTTTTTATCAATTTGTTTGATCTATAAAATGTCAGATTTCATTAATATTTATTAGATAGAGAGATTTCCCCTTTTTTAGCAGAAGCTGACATATTGAAATGTCTTGTGTTGTCTCACCAACAGTCCAAAATACAAAAGGATTCAGTCCAAAAAAACCCCCAAAAACAAACAAACAAACAAAAAAAACAGTATTCAGGTTTTAGAGCTGGAGCCAATTAATTAAAAACAAAAAACACCTACTCATTAATTTTCTGTCAACCAATTAATCATTTTCCTCCGAAGGTTTATTTCTCATTGATGTGGCCCCTCAAACCCATGGGGGCATTTCCACGGTCCAGCCGAGACGTGGGAGGCAGCAGGACACAGCGGGACGTCCCCTGCATAGAGAACCTGGAGTACCAACAGGGCAACATCTGCTGTTTAAACTGCCCAGCTGGTAAGACACATGGAGCCACACTTGATTATGTCCTCTGATACTGAAATTCTATCCCCAGCTCGAATCTTACATCCATCACCAGAGCTTGATTGTGACTGGTTGATATTAAGATAGAGTGACAGGTTCAGTTCAAGGGTCAATGAAGTCAGTGTATAACATGATTTTTGGATTATTTTCTATGTGTGTTAGGTACACGTCTGATATCGCCCTGTGACAGAGCAGGACGGAGGGGCCAGTGTGAGGAGTGTGACGATGGGACATACACTGAGCACGACAACGGACTGAAGCACTGTTTCAAGTGCACACAGTGTCACTCAGGTAATTCTGCTTGATGGCTTTACACTATCGATTGGAATGAGTGCGGAAGAAAAATCAATATTCAACCTTTTCAAAGTGCTCCGACCATAAACTCCGACTTAACAAGGTCTTTTTCATGTTGCTTTCTCAGATCAGGAAATTGTAAGGCCCTGTACTCACACTCAAGATGCTGAATGTCAGTGCAAACTGGGGAGATTTTGTGACCCTGACGATGCATGTGAGGTGTGCAAGAGGTGTTCAAGGTGAGTCTTTGCCAACCAGACAGAACACACCTGATGCTCAGTTCATTCAAAATAAGTGATTGAAAAAAAATCCTTTTTATGTTGCACATTTCTCAGTTGAAGACTGCTCCTAAAAGGCCTCGCTCAGTTTAATTTCTTCATGCTTTCAATTTATCTTTTTGCCTGAACTAGGTGTGGAACGGATGAAGTGGTAGTGAGGAACTGCACCCCCACTGCCAACACAGAGTGCAAAAAAATCCAGCCCATCTCTGACTCCGCCTCAGGTACACCACTCACTGAAAAGCTCAACAAACATAAAGACACCAGACATAAAAGGTCTAATATCGTATCCAAAAATACGTATTATGACTTGCATATCTGTCAAGCTGTAAAACCAGAGAGAAACAAAGTATGAAATTATTATTATACCATAATATGGTGCTGACGGTTTTCCATTGTGCTTTTTTTTATCAGCAGGGACCTCTGTGACTTTGGTATGTGTGGTGGCTGCTGGTGTTGTGCTGGTTATCGGGATAATGGTCTTTATATTCGTAAGGAGACGTAGAGCAACAGGTAGGTAAAAATCAATTACTAGTTACTACAATCCCTGCACTATTAAATTGCTAAAATCTCAGTCTGTAGGAGAATTTGTACTTGTATAAAATGAAATGATCAATAACAAATGCAGCAAATAAGTTATTCCAGTCTCAGAAAAGGTAAACAGATTATACAAATTATGTAAGAAATGTAATTGCAATAATTACATAAAATAATGTTGTACCTTTTTAAAATGTACAAATACTACACACTGGCTGGGAAGAAATGCAAATAATTAATTTCTATGAAATAATAAAATAAGAATGAGGGAAAAGTGACTAAATTGTTAAATCATTTTAAACTATTTATTATAAGATCTTCAAGAACAGGCTGTAGTTGAATATCTGCCCCATCACAATCAGCATATACTCAGTGGAACAATAATTACATCAACAGGTGCAGTCAGGAAATTAAGACCTGGCAATGGAAATTATGGCACGCAGTATGACACAACACGTTTTCATTTCTGACAACCAACATTTGATGCACCGTAGAATTGTTTGTCTTGCTACAGGCTAAAAGTCACATTCCTGTATGGAAATGGAGTGTCATCTTAGGACTTGGTCTTTAAATCTGATGCTATTCTTGTCAAATATTGAATCTAAAGACAGTGGGATGTACAAGTCCACCACCATTAATAAATGTTCAACAAAACTAAATTGCGTAAGGCAGTGAAGTTAGTAGTTCTAGGGCTACAACTACAGTGACTATTTTCACTAGCTATTACTCTGTCGATTATTTTCCTGATTGATCTTTTAGTTTGTAGTCTTTTTAGTCTATAAAATATCAGGTGGTACCAAAATGGCTTGTTTTCCTTGATCTACAGTCCAAATTACACAGAAACAAGTAGTCTACTTAATGGTTTAGAGTGAGGGTGATGAACAGTGATGTCACTGCAGGCTTTGTGTCTTTGACACACATTGGCTGTGCTCCACACAACTGTGCCAACATGCTGCATGTTTTTGTATCAGTAAGGGCACAGAAACCTGCTGAACTGGACTCTCATAGCAGGTATGACGATTGTTTGAGATGATGATCACACAGGTACAGGCAGTGCAGCAAATTATGTGCTGCAGTACCACTTCCTGCTGACGATGTTGGAATAGGGTGCAGTAGGCAAAAACGTAAATATCAGGCAGGCCTACGTAAAAAAACATGTTAAACAACTGCCTGCAAGGGTGTATGTCATCTTTCAAACCAAACTTGAAGCTGGACTGCTTCCAGCTGTTGACAAGTTACAGTTAAACACCTTTCCATCTGGATTTAAGCCACGTGAAGGTGGCTTTCTCAGTCTCTACCTTTTGCCACACTGTTGGTAAACTCTACCCAATCTGACACAAACTGGTGCTGTGTCAATCCGGTTTGACCTATGAAAATCCCCACATTCTGACGTCACTGATTTGTGTGGTCAGAGGTGCTGCAATGAAAGTTGGAACACAAAGACAGCAGCAGTAGTTTTCAGCCCTTTGTTATTTAGTGTCAGTTTACCCAACAAGAATAATTCAACTCACACGTCCCTTTAAATAGCTGCTTGTGGACTTTAACCTCTCTTCTCGTACTTTCCTCAGGCTCTCAGAGAAATCCTGACGGGCTAAAAGCTGGACAGGTGAGGAATAATTCTGCATATACTATAGGATGGATTAAAACGAATGCAGAGCAGAACAATAAGCTGATCAAAGACTAAAGTTTGCTCAGATTTTATGGATAGATTTCAAAGAATAAGGATGAATGCAGCAGCCCATACCTAATGTACAGTAGACTGAGAAAAATAAAGGTGTTTTAGAATGACTCATTCTTCTAAAGGACATATTGGATGCCATTTTAAACAAGTTTATCATCCTCTCCAGCATCACAGCGACACCTGTCCCGCTGAGGAAAGCAGTAATGGGGAAACCCGCAGGCCAAGCCGCATGAATCTGATCCCATCCAGGCAACTGGTGAGAGCCTTATCCTCCGCCGGTACGGAGGATGAGCGCAAAGTGCTGTGTGAAAGCCTCAGCAGCTCAGCCAGTAACTCCCAGCACAGTCTAACTGGCCCGCCCTGCTCTGCCTTCCCTGCACCTCCCCCCCCTCAAGCCAGCCCCGTGGTCCTCAGGCAGCCCAACAGGGTGAGAGCAACAGCTCATTTCCACCCCTGCTTCCATCCTTGCTTCCTTCTTTGCTTTCTTCCTTTTTCATCTGCTTACTACTCGTTTGTTTTATAATGCTTTGCTGTCTTAACGACAGACACTCACAGCTCTTTGGTCACACGGGTCTGACTGTGCTCCTCCGCTCCATCACTATCATTCTACATGTGGGCTTACCAAGCTACACTCAGCTCTTCTGACCAACACTTTCATTTAAAACTAGTACTGACTGTTCACTGTCTGTTCAGCTGCAGTTCAGTTGCATATTTACTGTGGTAAATATGCTGTGGTGTTGTGATGAATACTGCACAAGTGTCTCAGACAACTTGTCAACTTGTCTCTTTTCACCCTGTCATGTTTCAGACTCCTGGAAGTTGTGAATACTAAAATACATTTAAATTAAGATTTTCATTGTCCCCAGTGGTTATAGATGTTGATTAACCCCAGTGAGCCACTGATGATTTAAGTGTTGTGACACAGTTTCTCCTGTAATTGTTGTTCAAAGTTGTATTGATAGTAGAATTGGATGAGTCACATGTTCCTTATTACACCTGTTAAAGATTAACATGAAGAGAGATCTTCTTATCGGTCGGCATTCCTTTCATTTCAAACCTGAAATACTTATTTGTTTTCTTTGTGCAAACAATTGTCAGTTCAAGCAAGGGAGCATGGCGTTTTGAACATGCCAAGTAACTGAATAAGAGATGAGTTGTATTCACCAGGTGTTATAATTTATGACTCATGAAGAGTTTCAACACACTTGGTAGGATGTTAATCATTGATTCTCTCTTTTGTCATTTAGGAAGATGAGCAATTTCCCATGCTTGTTCCTGTGAATGGTAAAGTATTTTTCTTTTCATTCCTTCTCTCAAATATAACACTCCTCCTTAAGTCACTGTTGCCATTACTACAATGGTGACAACATACTTGAGCAAGGTCACGGTGCTTGAATGAAGCTCTTTCTTTGTTTGCAGGTGAAGAGTCTCTCAGGAGCTGCCTTCCGTATGTCGAAGAAATAGACTACGACCTTCACAAGAGATTCTTCCGTCACCTCGGGATCAATGACAATGAGATCAAAAGCAGAGAGAGCCTTCCATATGATGACAAGATCCATGAGTTGCTGAAGGTTTGGATGGAGAAAAGGGGCAGAGAAGCCAGTTTAAATGACCTGCTGAAGGCCTTACTTGATCTGAATCATAGGCGCACCGCTGAGATCATCAAGGAAAAGGCCCTTGACAATGGTCATTATGTCTGTAAGTGTTAATGAGGGGTGGATATTTTCACCCCTCTGAAAACATGTAGGTCTGTGAGTACCACTTATGGTGTTAGTTCCTTGTTGCTGGAAGCTGATGAACCATCCAAAACTGGTTGGAGTAGCTCGCACAAGGCTACTGCCCATAGTAGTGTTTTGGCTTAGATAGTTTGTCTGTTCAGTTGTGGTAAAAGAAGAGAATTCATGAGTCATGTAGTCTCATAAATATCACTCATGGTGTGAGGTCCTTGTTGGAGTAAAGTTGTGTATCGTCCAATACTGGTCAGATTAGCAAATCGCAAGGCTACCACCCATAGAAGAACATATACAAAGTGCATGTTTTACTGAAGCTGCTGCTACTTCAGTAAAGGCACTGTACCGTACTGTACAGCTCTGCTGGGGAAATGCAGGATGTTGTTTGGGTATACCACATGCCTGCGTGACCTCACACACACACACTCCAAAAAGACAGCTTGAATTCAGTTGTTTTTGTCTGACTGAAGTGATTTATTCCTTCAGCTCTACATGGAGTAAAGTATTTAATTACAAGAAGTGTTTGCTGTCTTGGGCACCAGGTGTGCAAAGACCAAAGAAGAAAAATGAGCTTAAATCATAAGACAGGTTGATTGTTCATCAGACCTTATTGATGATTTAGCTCTGTTAATTTTCATATTTATTCAGTGACCAAAATAACTATTTTTCAATGAGAATGAATGTTTTAACGCATGCACTGATTGATCAGTAGAACATGTGAAGCATTGAACAAAATGCTGATATTTATGATGGTGGAGAGCAGTTGTGTTTGGATTTATTTAAATAGTATGCTCTCTGCCTGTATTATTGATTGAAATTGATGTTTTGATCATGGTTCAGGTCAGCTACTTTACTCACTCAAAGCACCTGATCAAAATGGATTCATGTTTGTTTTTGTTTTTTTTTAATCTCTCCCTGTCTGTGATGTGTTTATGGTCTGTTGTTACAGTTCTGTCATAATACTGATCAACACTGACATTTTAGAGGTTTACAGAACCACAAGAGGCTGTGCTGTGGGCCTCTGGTGTGCCTCACAAAAGTGCTTTGTTTACCTTACAGAGAGACTAATCACAATGTTTCACACATTGGCTACTTTGACTTTTCTACTTATCTGTTGCTTTCTCTCCTAGAGATCCTGTAGTGTTTGTGAAACTATTGTTTGTTTCTGATATTTTCATATGTACATTTTAATGAATTTTACAGACCTCTGTAAGGTTCTTGTTTTTGTTTTTTTTTAATACTTGAATGTGAATGAAAATAAACACTTTGTCTTGATTTTTTTCTATCACTATTTTGAATGAAATGACATGTTTTAAGTTTCAAGTAGTGTTTTTACACACAGAAAAAAAATATGTGGGTTATTGTGCACTGATGCAAACTCTCAGACAATATAATAAAAATACTGTTATACTGTACACTGTAAATTGAGTTGAGTCAGTGTGCTAGCTATTAAACGGGGCCACACCCTGGTTAGTGCAACAGGAACCACAAGTTAGGAACAGGCACTCTACTCATGATAACATAAAAAGTGAAATATTAATTTGTCTGAATGGGATCAGTTTTCTTATTATGTAGTTAATCAGCTGCCTCCAAATTCAATAGATAAAGTCAATAACATTACAAAAGCATACAGATATACAACTTGTGTTTTTGAGAAGACTTGGTGAATATGTGTTTGCATACCAGATAAATCACCACATTCATGCCACATATTTGCAACAAGTCTGGGTAATCTGGGTAATTTCCCACAAATTGCGCAATGCTGAAACAGGAAAAAACATGCCATGCTTTCCAATACCCATACTGCTATATTATATAGTGTGCCAGAAAAAGAGTTAGTATGTTCCAATACATAGTACAGCAAATGCTGTACTAGTTTGTTCCAATACATAGTACAGCAAATGCAAATATGTTTAACTACATCTGGTCTGATTTTGCAGTATGCAAGCCAGCATGCTTTTCTGGCTATTTTGACCCACAATCCTCCAATCCTGATAGCTCATTGACAGCTCATGTCAACAACAAAACACAACAACATAAATATGCAAATAATGACAGAAATGCATAAGTAATTTTACTGTCATGAATATACATATAGTATGTTAGAATCTACTGTACAATGCATGCAATTATAACTTGCAACATTTTTAAACTAGACTACATTCACTGCAAAGAAACAGCAGCTGAGCTCTCGGGGTTGTCCTCCGTACCTGGCAAGCTCTGCAAATGGTGTCATGGGGTTATACTTCCATGCAGTTTGAACACTCCCAAAAAAACTCCAGGACACAGATGATTGACTTCCATGAAGTTTACTGGGAATCTTGTGAAACTGTAAACACAGTACAATGAAATATGTACATTATTAAACAAAACAAACACACGGTATCTGGGTAATTAGTACAGCTTAGCTAGCCTAGCTGTGTAGCTAATATGATGAGATACTACCAAGCTAATCAAAACAGCAAGCAGCAGTGAAACGTAAAGCTAACTTAGCCTAGCAACACAATTAACATCTTAGCCATCTCAACATTCTAACAACTCAAAATAAGTGATAACTTAGTGTTACACGATGAAATCTACTCACAGACGTAGCCTTAGCAAAGAGGGAGAGAGAATGGCTTTCAACTGAGGAGCTGACGACAGGGGGTACGTCCCAAGTCTCTCAATTTTATACTGATAACTCCTAACTCCTTACTTGAACCGGAAGTCGTTATAGGTCCGCCATCTTTAAGGCCGTCTCATGTCTCTTATTCCTGCCAGTAAGGAGTTAGCGTTAGGAGTTAGGAGGGATCTGTTAGGTGCAATGAGTAAGGTAACACGAGAGGTTCCTAACAGGAAGTCTTTTTCAGCTTGAGGCCCATACGTATAAATACCCGCCCCCTACATCTGGCTCATTTGAACGAGATGGCAGAGAAACAGCGCAAGTGTACCCGTTACATGCATTCTTTGCAATGAAACGCTGTAATTCACATGCCTACGTGACTACAAAGAGTAACGTTAATGATATTTCGTGTTTAGTTTATTTCATTCACAATCCGTTGCGTTGTTCAGCGGACTGTCGGTGATGTGTGGCTGTTAAATGTGCAGCTGCTCATGTCCAGAACCACACGTGTTGATATAACACCACACACACACACACACACACACACACACACACACAAACGCAAACACACAAACACATTTGCCCATCATTAATTGTCCTGTATGTCATGTGAGTGGAATAATGTTTATTAGCCTGTAGGTAATATTAATTATTAATATTAATTAATATTATTACTTTAATTAATGTTGTTGTAAGCTACTGTCATTACCGTCTGTCCTGCATCTCTCTCTCTCTCTCTGTCTCTCTCTGTCTCATTGTGTCATGCGGATTACTGTTAATTTATCATGTTGATCTGTTCTGTACAACATCTATTGCACGTCTGTCCATCCTGGAAGAGGGATCCCTCCTCAGTTGCTCTTCCTGAGGTTTCTACCATTTTTTCCCTGTTAAAGGGTTTTTTTGTTTTCCTGATCCGCTTCCGCTGTGAGGGTCCTAAGGACAGAGGGATGTCATATGCTGTAAAGCCCTGTGAGGCAAATTGTGATTTGTGATATTGAGCTTTATGAATAAAATTGAATTGATTGAGGCAGACTGACAGGTTTGATGTCTTATTCACTCAACAGCTGACTTGCTGAATGATGGCGAGTGGATTTAATAATAGTGATATTAATGATTATGATAATAATAATGATAATGATGCTCATCACAGTGACAGTGGCAGGGCTACAGACCGTTCTTTAATTGAGACAAACTTCAGCAAATGACTCAATAACAATGGTAATACATGCAAAAGTGTGTGACCAAAGTCATGACAGCGGGGGGTGGGGGTTACGGCTTTGATCAGAGAATATAATGTGACTTGGGATGTACGCCAAATGCTGGCTCCGTTATGCAGCAGATCCAGCTGTGCCGCCGTCATTAGAAAAGGACGTCGCTTTACGTGACGCTTCAGAGTAAGGCCGTCTCATGTCTCTTAATCAGCAATCCTAGCTCATCACTCCTAACTCCTGACTCCTTGCATGTTTTCCTAAGTGGGAGGGACTAAACAGTTAGGTAAGGTGGCTAGGTTAGGTGGTTAGCAGTAAATTTAAGGGACTTGGGACGTACCCCGGGAGTGATCACACACAACTGTGGCTAATCACCGCGTGGCAATTCTACTTCCTGTTTCCCAGCATGCACTGCTTCTATGTTGCTATGGTTACAAAATAAAGAAATCACACTTAACTGTGGTAACAACATGCTTCCACTCCTTTCTAAAGAGATCCGTTTCCTCAGAGCTGCCTGACGAAGGAGGAGGTGCAGAGCCTGTCTTGAGGGTCAGGAGCATTGCTGGGGTGAGGATGAGAGGCGATTCTGGATCCAATGACACTGGAATTAGCGGCCTAGCATTCATGATTGCAGCTACCTCGGCCATGAGAGTGTTCAGAACCTCATGTGTCAGGTGAGACTTCCTCTGCTCAAGCAGCATGCAATCCAAAATACGGCGGGCAATGCCGATCATTCGCTCCCACGCGCCACCACTATGAGACGCGTGGAGCGGGTTGAACGCCCAGGTGCAGCTCTGTGTGTCCAGGTACTTTTCCACACTGATTAAGCCTGGATTCGTCTTGTCCATCTCCAGCTCGTGGGAGGCGCCGATGAAGTAAGTTCCACAGTCAGGGCTTATCTGCTTTGCGAGGCCCCTGACTGCAAAGAACCTCCTCAAGGCGTTGATAAAGCTGCTGGAGCTCATTGCCTCAGTCACCTCGATATGAACTGCCCTTGAGCACATGCACAGAAACATCACAGCCCATCGCTTAGAGTTGGAGACTCCTCCTCTTGTGCAGCGTGAGACGATGTCTCATGGTCCAAAGACATCGACACCTATGTAGGTGAAAGGAGGTGCTACTTGTAGCTGTTCTTCTGGCAGGGCTGCCATCTGCTGATGTTCGGTCTTTCCCCTCAGCTTTCTACAAGTGATACATCTGTGAAGCAGACTGCTGATACAGCGTTTGGCTCCCACCAGCCAGAACCCTGCAGCTCGAATGGCACCTTCGGTCAGATGTCTTCCTTGGTGTTTCACTGCTCCGTGATAGTGAGACACAAGCAGGGTTGCAAGATGATGCTGGCCAGGAATGATGATAGGGTGAGTCTCATTCATGCTAAGGCCTGACTGTCCAATCCGGCCTCTTACCCTAAGAAGTTGATCTTGGTCCATTGTGGGTAGCAATTTCCACAGGCTGCTGGAAGATGGGATGTTGGATCCTGAGTTGATGCACTTCAGTTCCTCTGTATAGCAGTCATTCTGGATGCTCTTCACAATGCACACTTTGGCTCTCAGCAACTCTTCCTCTGTAGGATGACAGATGCGCCACCCCTGACATTCATTCTGGGTGGAGTGGGCAAAGGTGCTAGCTATGTGGATGAGGTGTGCTATGGCTGTGAGGAGAATGCTAAAATTGGAGAAGTGTTCAAAGCGTTGTGGATGTACCACATCTTTGGTAACGTGAGAATTGTCGCCACCTGGGGATGCACTTCAGAGGCGATGTCAGGGTCAATAAGGTCATAAGTCTCTTGAAGCTTGGATGAATGCAAAGATGCATCATGGAGAAAGGCTGGTCCTTTGAGCCATGCTTTGCTGCTAAGCAGGGCTGGTGTCACAGTTCTTGACCCAATATCAGCTGGGTTTAAATGCGTTGGGACGTATTTCCATTGGCCAGGACAAGGTGATTGACGGATTTGTTGGATCCTGTTGTGTACACAGACATAAAGTCTCCTTGACTGGTTGTGGATGTACCCCAATACAACCTTGCTATCTGTGTAATAGGTGATGTTGTCGAATGTTGTGTCCATCTCTGTAACAATCATCTAGGCAATCTCAACAGCAAGTACAGCTGCACAGAGCTCATGTCTCGGGATAGTCAGGCCAGGATGGGGGGCCAACTTTGCCTTCCAGAAGACAAAGCCAATCTCAGTCTGTTCTTGGTGGCTTGTCACCTTGATGTAGGCCACGGCTGCTATTGCTTTGACTGATGCGTCTGCAAAGACACAGAGTTCTTTTCCTAATGCACCTGCAGTTTTAGAAGGATGTATAAGAGCGTGGTATCTGAAGCCCCTCTCGGTCTTGGAGTGACTGTTTCCATCTAGTCCACTCAATCTCCATGTCTTTGTGGAGAGTTGAGTCCCAATCCTCTGCTTGCTTGGTGAGTTCCCTGAGTATCAGTCTTCCGTGAACCATGATGGGTGCGAGGAAC